CGGACATGTATTTTACTTAAAAGAGATTAATTAGTAAAATCATGAAGAATAAATCATTGAAAAGTGTCTTTTGCTTCTTTCTGAGCACCAAGGACATTATTTATAGAACAGCCCTCGTATTTGTTAATTTATTTAAAAACACACTCAAGATAGTAACAACAGCTGACCAAGTTACACTTAGTGCAATGCGATAGTAAAATTAAAAGGCATCAGCTAAAATTAAGCATTCACGAATTATCTGGAAAAAAATCCCAATTTGCCAACCCTGAATTTACGACTGTTCTAGGAATATATTTTAATTTTGGCTTCATTTCAATAAAATAGAAAAAAGGTGATTTGATTACTTTTTTGCTATAAATACCATTGAAAATTGTTTAAAAAAAATAATTGCAAGTTCTTTTATTATACCGGGGTATACGATTAAAAAGAAAACTGTAAACATTCCAGAAAATACTCGATAATAATCTTTGTGAGTTTTCTTCCAATGCTCGTAGTTTTTCAAATATATTCTTGTCTCTCCTTATCCCCATACATGTAAATTTTTTGTGGAAAAATGGCAATAAATATTATAGAATGACAACCATAAAAAAGTTTTCGACATCAAGTCATAGCAGTTTATACTTCTAAATGTAAATGTATTAATTTTGAAGTTGTTTTTCTGTTAATTCATGGATCCAAGCCCCAGCAGATCATTTCTGATTCAACACGCTGACCTAGTTAGAATATTCCATCCCATGCAGACCATAGATCATTTACGCAGTAGCCTACATGTAAACATGTAGATGATTGAATAAGTACATATATTTTGAACACCATGCAAACAACCAGCAGGCGATATTGTGTGTCTGGCTCTCTGTGATTCCTGTGCAGCCCTTTTTCTTTTTTAATGTTAGGATCGCTCATTGTTTACCGCTCTATATTTAGAAAATCGCATCATCATCAAAGTGACCACTCGGTGCTCCCTGGATAGTTCTTGTCCCGCACGAGCGTAATCATCCGAGGCTTACCGATTTTTAATGGCTGCTTACACTGGGACCTCACATCCGGAAATCAAACTTAATGTGTCATCTCTCGTGAGAGATGACAATTAATGTACATACTAGTAATAGAAACTATAAATTAACATTTGTATCTTATCATAAGCTTGATTGAGTTGACAATATGATGGTTCTCATGAATAAAACTTGTGAACTCTGACATGACAATTTCCTGAATTTCATGACAAAATGTCTGAAGAAAGTTATCTCTCTTATCAGAAGATTTATCACTCTTATCAGAGGGATATTCCACCTTAATATCATTAAAGGAACAAAGACTTTTTGTTCTTTAGTACAATAAATCAATATTATCCCCTATTTTTGCAAAAGCGAGGGGAGATTAAATCTCATTCGTCTGTGTTTTCCTGTTTGTATGACACGAAAACTTTCACCGTGGTCATGACTTTTGAATGAGAAGAGAAAGGTCCTTTATATATGTATTATTCACATGTGTATTGTCCTTGGCAAGACCTTCCTAAATACATGTACATTAAATTAAACAATTGTGACCCTGTGTTCTTAACCTTAAATTATGACCTACTTAAAAAGATGTTTCCTAAAAATTTTCTGATCCCTTGATTTTGATCACGATTGACTTAGTTAAAAAAATAACCTTTTAGAACTTCTGAAGGACATAATATGATATTGATAGGGCGTTCTCATTTAAATAATTTTAACTGCTTTAGCATGGCGTTATAATTATTCAGAGACTGTATTGTAATTGATAGTATTACCTAATGGAGAGCCTTTTTTATTTGTTTATTTGGATAGAAATTAATACGCAGCATTTTCTTTTATCCCAAAAAACAAAACACCAGGAGATCCCCCTGTTTCCCTTTTAAATCCAGGAATGGTAACTGATTAATGCTGAGAAATTTTTTTTCTGTAAATTTTGTATTTACATTACATCAGTATATTCAAGACTTTTCAGCATAATTTTGTTATTCTTATTTTGATTACTTTTTTTTAATTTCAATTTAATTCCGTAATTTAATTGTTGGGTAATTAATTTATATCTACAAACACATAACACCAAAGTTTAGATAATTATATGTAAAAAAAAAAATGAAAAGAATGAAAGAAAAGAAATATCTATTAGTTCAGATTATTTGTCATATAATTTCAAACACTTTTCACTTTAGCAAATTCTGAAACAGAAATAATCTTCTTTGAGTAGGTTAAATAGCATATGTATAGCTATTGTGCCTCTCTGCAATTCTAAGAATTTGAGTAAGAATATCAAAACAGATATCATCTTTTACTACATATTACACCACACGCATACTTTATGTAATCGTGATCTGTTTATTTGTTTTATAATAAAACTAAAAAAAAAAAAAAAAAAAAACAAAACAATATGTCCTCTCCCTTCTTAATAAAAAAGGTGGATGTGATTTTGGACCCGACTATTCATCAGTAATTTTGTTTGCCCATCTGTAACTGGCTGATATTTACATGGTGTACATGTATTTTTAAATTCTTCCACTATTTGAATGAAATTTTATTTCATAACATTTTCTCAAAAATCTATATTCAAAGGAACAGGTAAATGTTTAATATATCAATATATTCATAAAATAATTTCTGTATAATGACTCTAGTTCACATTTAGGTTTTAATAAAACTTAAAGCGAGAATTTTTGATAATTTAAGAGAAATTTCGATTGATTTTGAAATCAAAGATGTTACAAATTCATACGTATGTAGTAAAAAAAAATCTCTTAAATTTCATATTGGATTTTTAATTGCGAAAGGTTTACACACAAAAGATTTGTTTGTTTAGTATGCATGGATTTTTCCGCCAATTTTTACTTAACTTTTTCGACCCCCTTTTAATAATGTAAAATTTCTAGCACTGGCTGATTATTGCAGTGTTAAAGAAAAATATTAAATTGTCATCACGGAAAAAAAGAATAATGAGTAAAAGACGGAGAAGCAAAGTTCAAATTGAAAGAAGAATAAAAACATTTAAGAGGGGTCGTTAAAAGGAGGCTAACAAAATTGAAGAGGGAACGGAGTCGTTTAAAGAAATCAACACTGCCGAATAGAATGTTTCAATGCCTAATATGTAGAGAAGAAATTAAAATCTTTACTCATTTTAAACATGATGTCAAGATTATGAAAATGAAAGTTAACATGCAAAGAAATCTCGTCCGATTAACGCGCACAGATGAAGTCAATAAAAGTGTAATTGATGCTGCAAATCACCCATATTCCTCAAACGCTGGCAAGACAATTAATTTACGGCAGCAGATTTCGATTTCAAGAGGGTGGATCCTAGGTTTTCAGCTTTTTGAGTTAAAGAAAAATAAACTTGATACATTCCACCATTTATTTTTATCAGTGATATTTTTTCCAATAAAATGAAAATATAAACATAGCCAATCAGTTTGCGTCTAGGTATCACGCCTGTAATTGTTTTCACAATCAAAGCCCATGTAGAATTTAAAAAAAATGATTACAAAAAATTCAGGTAATTGTTCACTTGACAAAAATATTTAGCAGGTGTACATGTTAAACATTACCTGTCACAAGCTGACCCTCACAAACACAAAACGCTACCTACACGGCATTTTCTGACTTTTTTCCATCTGCAAAGAGGGCTTCCCTCAAATCCACTGGTTTTTAATGAGTTTATAAACATTTCGAGTGCATCACAGGAAGTAGCCTCCTATGTCAAAAACCTTCATTTATTAAAAGAATTACATAAAATTTACTAGGCTTAGGAACCAAAGTTGTAAAAATGGCTTGAAAGAGAATAGAAAAACGTCTCAAAAGAAAGGAAACTCAATTTTTTTTATGAATGGACCTACATTTAATTAAATGTAACTTCATTTTGATGCATGGTCAATTACATGTACCCGCGTGATACCTCTACCCATTCAGTACTCCTCTTCCTTCTTGTTTAACCAGGAAATGATGTCAACGTCCTAGAATCTGGTACCCTTTTCCCCATAATTTGACACGCGGTACTTTCACGACTACCAAGTGCATCGTACCCGACGTTTATTTATACTAAGGAAAAAAATCATATGGAAATACGTAAAAAAAATCGAAAGAAATCTTATTTCAACTGACAAATTAGTGTCAAATTAATTTAGTTCAAATTATTTTACTATGATTAATGATTTTTATACATTTCTTTTTATTTATTTATTTTTTTAACAATATTTACTTAATATGACCCCCCCCCCCAAAAAAAAAAAAAAAAAAAGAGTGGTTGCAAAGACTTTTACATAATAAGTTTTGTACATATGTTTTAAACCCAGTAAAACTCAAGATCCCTCCCTCAAAATTACTTACATTAATTGCCTCGCCAACATCTCTCGGAGGAGTTTCACAGATAAACGTTATATCGGCTTTTATACTACAGAGTTCGCTCTGCGGATAGAATGCCAAGGTTTTCTTGGCATTTGAAAACGAAAGATTATGAAAATAAAACTTAAGGACTAAAGGACAGTAGATATTATCGAACTATTATAAATTAACTAACCAAGGCAATTTTAAATCAATTTTTCTTAATTTAAGGATGTAATATAACTTACGCGTTTCAAAAATGATATTTTGTAGTAACCAAATCGACAAGAATGCTATGTGGAACGTCAGAGTTCTTTTTTAATGATAAACTCTAATTCGGCTTACAAATATTTCTACTGATTTAGAGTTTAGATAGTAAAAATCTAAGGTCACAAATTCTTACAGATAAAATGGCTTCAGGATTAATACTGATATTGTCTAGGAAAAAACACATCTACTATTTGTTTTCTGTTGAAAAAGTAACTAGAAACAAAACTTTTATATTCTAAAAATAACAAACACCATGTGAATTAAAAGAAAACACAAGAAACAAAATGATCACAAACTAGTGATTTCAACAAAGTAATTCTGGGCTTTTAAGCTTATTTTTAGACAGCTCTTTTAAATAGATTATGCTTATAAAATTTCTTTACATGTTTTTTTTAGATCAGTTCTCCACACTGACTGATGACGAGGTGTTCGTGTTATTCTGTTATCTGTGTTCTGACTCCGGTCCTCCTGACTTTACTGACACAGAGTGGCTGGACTTGCTTAATGAGATACGACAGAGAGTGTACGATAAAGAGGACCCTGTAACACGTGAGGAAGCACAGCAGACTCTGGACAGACTGAAGTCACGTGATTACCTCTGGGAAGATCAGGACAAGATAAAGAAGGACACAAGGGATGAGACAATGTTTAGGATAGCATCAATAAACAGTAATATACCATTCTATTACAGTAGTTATAACACAGCCAGTGTGTACCTGAGATCATCAGGATACAACAGGAAACCTGGAGATAAGTGTGTCAGAAGTTTTAATAGCATCCTTGATTCTTTATTGATACGCCGTCTACAGATGAACATACTGAATCACGTCACCATGGAGGACATGAGTATTTATAATGAGATACACCAGATAGGTAAGTCAGTGTAAAGAATTTTAATAATTTTTCTAATTTTGAAAAATCGTCTGGAGGGTGATTTCGGGAGGTTAGTATATTTATATGAGAATTACTTTTAATTAAATTTTCGTAACATGACTCGATCATAAAAAAAAAAAATATTTGACCAGTAAAACTTTCATTGATGTTTAAAAGCATACATACACATGATATAATCATTTTCTATTTAGAAGATGTACGTTTTTTTTTAATTTTATTTCATTTGTGATTAGATAGATGTAGCTTTAAAATTGTTTTTCCATTTTTTAACTAAGTCTAGGTTTTTTTTTTTGTACAAATGATACAATTCAAACAATTAATGTTTTTTTATATTACAGTGAATGTTTCAATAAATATCCTAAAGGACAGTGAAAATAAAAAAGCAAAAGTATTAACGGATCTAAAAAGAGAAGGGGAGAAAGTATATTACAGAGGAAGATCACATTACAGTGTAGATCACGTGACGTGGCTCTGGAGGTACGGGAGATACAATAGACCTGACATCGTGAGATCCTGTATAGGTCTATATCCACACAATGATATTTACATCATCGACAACAAAGCTTACAGAAAACCAAGTAAGAAAATAGATATTTTAAAGTTTTATCTTGATTTATGATGTTACATTTCTTTACCAGTAATTCAATTTACGCTGGTGTCTCTGTGCATGAATTTGACTTGACAGGCTCAATACATGTATATAACCCCCCCCCCCCCTCCTTTCCACCAAAATTTAGACTAAAGTCTAAAACACACTGACGATAGTAAATTAGTCGAACATTTTATTTCAAAATAAATCGATTAATTTAATTCAATCATAATTTATCTATTAAGTAATGAGCTACCGACTAAGATCAACATTAAAGATGCGTTTGTGAAACACTGATGTATCCGTACAGCAAAGTCAAAGGTCAAAGTTAAAAATACTAAATGTTTGTTATAAAAAAAAAAATAAGTCATGTCATAGGTAATACAAATGTGAAATATATATGGAAGTAATAACCTAACTCAATAAAAAGTTATGGTCAAAGGTATTTATTGCGGGCAAACAGACAGACAGACAGATAGGGGGGGGGCATGGAAAATGTTATCATTGAAAGGCAGTCTTGAGAGGAATAACATCATGTTTTTATAGAATTTTATTTTCAATGAAACTTTTAACTAAGATAAGGATGACAATATTCTAAGAACAATTGTATCGGGTAAAGAATAGAAGGGTGCAAGGCGCGAACAATCCCCCGTTCTGAGGAAAGACATTTCTTAATTCTAAAAGTTTTTCAAAAGTATATTGTTTATATCATCTTTTACTGTATTTCATTGTTTTTTTTATTTTTTATTCATGTTTTTTATGATATGTGAAAAAAAGCTTCACATTTGATTCAAACGCTCTCCATAGCGCAGGGTTTGGTCAAAGACCGACCTCTTTAACCAATGCAACATGCATTATCGACGTCTATTAGTGTGATTTAAAGGAACGAGTTAATTGAAGCGTAAATTTTTTCAGAAATTTTTGATTTTCATATAGAATGGGTCCATATTCCAATTTTTGGATGAATGAAATAGCTTTCATGTTTTCTTCATTAAAGTGTTAACGAAAAATAGAGGCTTCACCCATTCATGTTCAAAATTCATTTTTATAGCTCTAGTAAACCCATTTTGCACTAAATATGTTTAAACTGTCAACTTGGTAATAAAGATTATCAAATACTTGTAATAAGTCACTCAGTAAAATAAAATCTTTTGAAGATTGCATTACTGAGAAAATCATTTTAGAAAAATATGATTCTTCTGTGAATTTTGAAAATTGAGAAATACTCTGTATCAAAGCAGGGGATTATCTACACCTAATACGCCCTCTTTCTTCGAGAAAGTGGCAAAATGATTAATTATAACTGGAACAAAAGCCATATTCGATATCAAACCTTGGTTTGGACACACGGAAGTAGAATAATAAAACTAATTTAATAACGAGATTTGTAACACAGCTTGTAGAGGTATTATTTATGCTTAAACATATAGGTATCATGAAAGAAACTGGGGATAAGCCGAACGCGATGCTTTCATTATGAGAAATAAATCACGAAATTTGCATGTAACACTATCGTTTCCGGACGATATTTCAAGAAGATTTGAGCTTTTGCAATGTAATTTTATACCAAAACTCCTTTGGACTTCTCTCACCCCTCTCAAAGTGTCCCGCCCCGTTTGTTTTATCAATATTTATTGTATTACATGTCGCTATTTTAGCACAGGGGCCTGAGGAGAATTATTACATATAAAAAGGTTCTTGGTGGACTTAACATTCTTATTACAACTATTAAAACTGTTTAATAAAGACTAAATTAGACACCATGCATACTGTAGAATTTTGACAATAACGAACGTAAATATATACATGCATGTGACTTCATGTTTGCATATAATTTTCATTGAACAGTGAGCTTTTCTGATCACATTTTGTTCGGCGTCCGTCTGTCCGTCCGTCTGTCTGTCTAGCTGTCCGTCTGTCTGTCTGTAAAATTTTTTCGACTTTTTCTCCAGAACCTCTGGGCCAATTTCAACCAAACTTGCCACTGTGACAAAGCATCCTTGGGTGAAGGGGATTCAAGTTTGTTCAAATGAAGGGTCACGCTTTCATTCAAGGGATATAATTAGGAATTAGGAAAATTTGGTGGGATGTTTTAAAAATATTGTCGTCAAGAACCACTGTGCCAGGAAAAATGAATTTTATAGGGAAATATCCTCAGGTAATGTAGATTCAGGTTTGTTCAAATCATGACCACCGGGGGTAGGGCGAAGCAAAAATAGCTGACCAAAGTTTTACATATAAATATATAGGAAAATTCTTTAAAATCTTCTTCTCAAGAATGACAAAGCCATAATTCATCATATTTATATGGAGGCATCCTCAGGTAATGTAGATTCAAGTTTGTTCAAATCATGACTCCCCGGGGGCAGGGCGGGGCCAAAATGGCCAACCAAAGTTTTACATGGAAATATAAAGGAAAATTCTTTAAAAATCTTCTTTTCAAGAATAGCAAAGCCACGATTGGTCATGGGACTATACTTTTGGATTTAAACTTTTCAATAATAAACTAAATTCGACTTTTTCCTAGCAACAGTGCTAAGGTGAGCAATGTGGCCCATGGGCCTCTTGTTAATTGAAACTACCGAATATCGAGTAAAAGTTTCTATCCATTTATGATATAATATGGCGGAAAAAACACAAGTGCTTAAGACATCTGGATTAACCTCAGCTTCCATCAAACTCCAAATGTATCAAATTAACACCGAACACGATCATCACAAGTTGAAAAGAAAACAAAACCCCTAGTAAAATGATTTTAAAATTGCATACAAGGCAGGATAGGAAACAATCAATATCTCTTTTTATATTCACTTAAGATTTAAATCTACTTTACGGATAAAACAAAATTTTAAATGTAGCGAGAGAATTGTAAAATGTTATGAGATGAAATATCATGACTAGTCTTGAGTATAATTTGGTCTTTTCATTAATAAATCCTTTCTGTATTAGGTAAATACCATACCTACCCACCAGAAGTCCGAAGTCTATTGTATTGCTTACTGTTAACTGAGAAATATCAGGTGAAACTCAATGAACAATCAGAAAACAGTACAAAAGACAAAATCAGAGACAGATATTTCCCTGATATTAATGATGACAGTTCGGTAGATCTTCCTGATGAAATCACAGAAACATGTGACGGTGTGATAACCTTTATATCAGACGACATCCGACATGACCTCATGTACGCCTTTATTACGGAGTGTCTGGTGAAGGACGGTGATCTGGAGTTTTTCCTGACCACGGCGTCACGTGACGTGATATCAGAATACTGCCGGTCCTGGTATTATAAGAGGAGTGAGGGAGAGAGATGTCTGTATGTACCGCGCTATCCAGAGGAGATGTACGACCTCTTCATAGACAACCTACAGCGGGACATCATCACACACTGTACCGTGTCTGACGAGGGGATTCATGGCAGGATCAGTAAACGTTGTAAGTATTTATTTAGCATAGTTATGAACTATTTGCTAAAAAAAGGTAGAGACATAAAGCAAATATGATACCTGCATTGGAAATAATCGTGGATTATAATCGTTATATATTTATAGACTTCTTAACTGTTCTGTGTTTCATTGATTACTTTGTGTAATCATATTAACTAAATAAGATATTTAAATGTATTTATTATACTCCTTCTGATTTTTCCCAATAAAATCAATTGATTAGATCTGAATAATTTTTCGGCAGTAGACATCATACTGAAAACAACAAGACCATGTTTCATAAATCCGTTGGAAAATAATCAACATAGATACATGTATGTCTTACATACAATATTGATAAAGAAAAAACTGTATGCCGATACACATTCTGTCCATTCTGTTCAAATTGCACTTTTTAAGTTCATTGTATCTCTTAAATAAAAAAATGTTGAAAATATTCATAATTTCAAAGTATGAGGTAATATAAAAGCAATTTAAAAATACACTAATTTAAGTGCGAATCAAAACTTAGAAGCTCATGAACGACTAAATTAGTCGCAAATTAGAGTCCTGCAAGGTACCGTTTCTCTTCTCTTTTTCTTCTTCTTCCTGTGTTATCTTTTTTGTTTGCTTTCTTGCACTCGTAGCTCTAATGTTATTTTGTCTTTATCATGTCACCTTATAAAGACGTAGAATCATTAAACCTCCTCAGTTGATCCCAATCAAAAATCAGATAACGTCAGCGGATGCTTGGGAACTTTACATCCTCAAATATTCAAAAAGTTTGACAGAATAAAGTTCTTTTTGTATACTGAAAGGAAAAAGAAACGCATATTTTACTTTTAAATTAAATTAAAACTAATATTTCGAAAATGTTTTTCAGTATTGTTTTCAAACATTTTAATTCATCTTTAATCTACAAGATACCAAAATCTTGTGTGACTTTGACTGATAATTCCTGAGTTATTGAAATTGATATGTCGATACCCTCAAAATTAAAATAAAAATTCTCATCGTCACCCTTGCACATTGGTAGCAGCCTTGATTTTCTTGTGCATTGAGTTCACCAGAGCATTTATTTTTCTCATTTGATTATTATTCAACTCTTCCGACAATAGTCTTAATGGTTGATAGAAGGTGCACTATTCCAAAGCCAACAAATCCCCCCGCCAAATGAGTGCCACGAATTTTCATTTTAGGATAGAATTTACAGAATCCAGCTGGTTTGGTACACATGAATGTTTGTGAGAAAGTCTCGACAAACACTGGCTACATTATCCCAGTGTGAACATGCTAAAAACATTACGCACACGACGCGTACGTGCGCGCGTGAGAGTAAAATCGACGTAAAAGTTGCCAAGCTTGCGGTCCAAATTAAATCAGAAAATTTCTGTCAATTTTAGGGTGAAAATATTGGTATGATAGTTTGCTGTATAAATGTCTGTTTCAGTGATAATAATTTGACAACAATCGAGGTGACATGATGAAAAGCCCTGTCTTTGTGTGACGTTGTTACGCGTCAACGTCACAGCCATGGTTGGTTGGAAACCTTTTAATTTACTCTCTGACAACTGAAAAACTCTTTTTTGTTGAAAAGTTTAAAACAAACTGCACAGCAACATCTTGTTGCCTTTTTATTCACTTACGCAATTCAATTACTGGAACCAGTGTAAGTTCCGTCAGCCGTACTATGATTGCACGAAATTTATACTGATTGCAAATGCGGAAAACGATGTCTATAACACCAATGCATCGATTAGCACTACAAAATGTGATCATAAAATTGTCATCATCAACATGCACGTGTTTTTGGCTTTTTATCATTTCCCCTACGTGACGCAATACATTTCATGGTTGAGTAATTTTGACCAGCAATTTTAGTGCACAGTAATCAAAATACACATTTGACCAATTTTCGTAATTTTCGGCCATATAGTTAAATATATTTCGCTATTATGCTATTATGCGTTTCCTTTTCCTTTCAGTATACATACAAATGTTCATTTCGGTGCTCAGGTCATAAGTAGCACATTATGTGTCCGATTAGTTCTATTAGTCCAATCGTATTCATTTTTATTGAAATGTTGAACAACGCTGATGGCATCCAATTTTATAGAAAAATTAGGTATTGTTATTACTTAATGCTACTAAAGACAAATAAAGATAAAGATATGCAATTTTAATCTTTATATAGTAAACATACCGGAGGAAATTTTGAAATGGGATTTGAGTGCCAGAAAAAGATTTGTTGAGAGTCTCCGCCATGGAAGAGTAGAAATGTTCCGTGCACGAGGTATGATTGTGGGATGCGCAGGCGCAGGTAAAACAACTCTTCTTAGGAAGCTTCAAAGGAGACACACAAAACAAAATCAACCTACAGAGACAACGGTCGGTCTAGAGGTCCATGAAGACTTGATTGAAATTAAAGATAAGACTTTATATGGTAAATCTTCCTTTACATATCAACAGTTTAACATTGGATTTCAACTAGAACACATGCATTTGTACTTCTGGAATTGTATAAATGCACTTGAAGTCACTTCCATCTCGTTTGTTTTCAGGAATGACTGATTCACAATATTAAATAATTGTTCCCTATCTGTTTTGATTCAAATCAGATTTCAGTGTAAAACCTGAAGATAGTGTTTTTCAAAGATTGGCATGGGTCATGAAGGAGAAAGAGGGGAATGTTATCAAAGGCATTCTCCATCACAGCAGTCGTGGTACAAAACTGATCAGTATGACAGACTTCGCCGGACAAGTAGCTTATTACGCATGTCACCAGGTTTACCTGTCAAGGAGAGCGTTTTATATCGTGGTTATTGATATGTCCAAGGGTCTGGAAGATGAAGTTAGACATTATGAGACTGATCGCCATAACCCTGAAGGATCCTTGTTCCATTCCTGGAAATACAAAGGTGAGTTTGAATAAAAACAATGTTTTCCATCTTTTAATCCTACACACAATGGTATATTTAATTTTGTCGTACATGTATACTTTCTGGCTCAACTGAGCCGAAGGCTCAAGTGGGCTTTTCTGATCACATTTTGTCCGGCGTCCGTCTGTCTGTCCGTCTGTCCGTCTGTCTGTCCATCTGTCTGTAAACTTTTCACATTTTCGACTTCTTCTCAAGAACCGCTGGGCCAATTGCAACCAAACTTGCCAAAAAGTATCCTTGGTTGAAGGGGATTCAAGTTTGTTCAAATGAAGGGCCACGCCCTTATTAAAGGGGAGATAATTGGGAATTAATGAAAATTTAGTGGTATATTTTAAAAATCTTCTTCTCAAGAACCACTGTGCCAGGAAAGATGAAACTTATTGGAAAACATGCTCAGGTAGTGTAGATTCAAGTTTGTTCAAATCATGACCCCCGGGGGTAGGGCGGGGCCAAAATGGCCGACCAAAGTTTTACATAGAAATATATAAGAAAATTCTTTAAAAATCTTCTTCTCAAGAATGACAAAGCCATAATTCATCATATTTATATGGAAGCATGCTCAGGTAGTGTAGATTCAAGTTTGTTCAAATCATGACCCCCGGGGGTAGGGCGGGGCCAAAATGGCCGACCAAAGTTTTACATAGAAATATATAGGAAAATTCTTTAAAAATCTTTTTCTCAAGAATGACAAAGCCATAATTCATCATATTTATATGGAAGCATGCTCAGGTAGTGTAGATTCAAGTTTGTTCAAATCATGACCCCCGGGGGTAGGGCGGGGCTAAAATGGCCGACCAAAGTTTTACATAGAAATATATAGGAAAATTCTTTAAAAATCTTCTTCTCAAGAATGACAAAGCCATAATTCATCATATTTATATGGAAGCATGCTCAGGTAGTGTAGATTCAAGTTTGTTCAAATCATGACCCCCGGGGGTAGGGCGGGGCCAATATGGCCGACCAAGATTTTACATAGAGATATATAGGAAAATTCTTTAAAAAACTTCTTATCAAGAATGACAAAGCAATTATTCATCATATTTATATGGAAGCATGTTCAGGTATTGTAGATTCAATTTTTTTCAAATCATGACCCCCGGGGGTAGGGCGGGGCCAAAATGGCCGACCAAAGTTTTACCTAGAAATATATAGGAAAATTCTTTAAAAATCTTCTTCTCAATCATTTTCTAAAAAATAGCAAATCCATGATTGGTCATGGGACTACTTTTGGATTTAAACTTTACAATAAAAAGCCATTTTATATTAGTCCTACCCTTGGTGCTCAGGTGAGCGATGTGGCCCATGGGCCTCTTGTTATTTACATGGATGCAACGTCAGGAATTGCTACTCAACGTTGTAACGTCAAAACGACGTCAATATGAATTGTTAACGTGCAATGTTTAAATATGTTTTAAAGAATAACGTAATCCCATTGAAGTAGTTATTAAAATAGTAATTTATTGACAGAACCTTGGGTAAATATACTTTTTTAGATAAAGCAGATTATCAAAACAAATTACGCTGTATTTTCAATTTTATATTTGACATGGCGTCATTTACGCAAGACATGAATTATGTTTGATTTGATAACTTAGCGCCTGGAAAATTTTCATTATCTTTTGGGAACAAGTTGTTGTTTAAAAGTACTCATTATATGTCAATTCAAATTTTTAAATTATACCGGTAAAATTTTCCTTTTTCACCTTGGAAAATGCGTTACATCAAATTTTCATTGCATGGGACATCTTAAACGACTTTTATTTCAAAGGATGTGGGTATCTACTCCCTTAACAGAGGTTGTCAACAAACATTTTATGTCTAAATATGATGTCAGTGAACGATCCTGTAAAATATCAAACTAAAATAAAATCTATTGAATGTATTTTTCTGTTACAACGGGACAGGACGAAACTTGACGTTATTCCGGAATACAGTAGTCTGACAATGTGTACATAACTTGAAATAATACTTATTTTTGTTACAACATTATTGGTGAGAAAAGAATCCTTTATTTTCAAATAAAACGCTACATGTTTATTATCAAGACTATACTGCAAATGTAAGCTGAAAACGGATTAAGCGTGTTATTTCCTATAAGTAGAAATTCCTGACGTTACGTCATATACAACCCTTACTTTCACAACATAACGTTGAACCGATAAACATATCTTAAAAACAGTGCGCCACATTTAAACATTTACAAGGTATAAATGAGTGAGAATAGATAAGAATAATAAAATATTTTACCTTCCTTAGTATATTGTAAGTTTTATCTTGCTAAAAACAATTTTTCTTTTATCAAAATACATATACTTTAGATCTCAGTCTCTTTTTCCAAAGGAAAACATGCATTTAATTAAATATTTATAGCAGAAAAGTGAAACTAAGATCAAAAGTGAGCTTTTCGTACGTTTAGTGTTCCCAGGTCAGGTCGAGGGAAACCTATACTTGTAAATTGTTTTATTATACCAATGAAAAACTGAAAAAATGATGACGAGAATCCGGAATTAGCTTTTGAATCAGTGATTAAGTTACTAGACGATCACACGGGATTTAATTATTCAGATACTAAACGCGGGTACGTTAAGGAAGCACATGTCATTTTTCGGGAGAAGAAAATTAAGTTTGATAATTTAATAAAACCGTTGATAAACGTAAACCATTATTGTTTATTGCATAAAGGTAAAAGAATGTCTAACACAATGACGTGCAACACCGCTACGGCATCACGTGACTTCTATTAATAGCGAAATTTTCCTTAATAAACAAGAGGCGCAGGGGCCACAGCGCTCACCCGAGCACATCAGGCTTGAATTTACTACCCCCCCCCCCCCACCTCCAGGTGTTCATCATTGGAACAAACTAGAATCTACACTAACTGAGGACCTGAGGATGATTCCATATAAATATCACTAATCATAGCTTTGAAGTACTTGTAAAGAAGATTAAAAAAAAGTTTCCCTATATATCCCTATGTAAAAATTTGGTCGGCCATTTTGGCCCCATCCAAGCCCCGGGGGATATGATTTTAACAAACTTGAATCGACACTACGTGAGGATGATTCCACATGAGTTTCATCTTTCCTGGCATAGTGGTTCTGGAGAAGAAGATTTTTAAAGATTTTTTTTTCTGTATGTTCCTATGTAAAACTTGGGTCGGCCATTTTGGCCCCACCCTAGCCCCGGGGGTCATGATTTGAGCAAACTTGAATCTACACTACCTGGGGATAATTCCACATGAGTTTCATTTTTCCTGGCCCAGTGGTTCTGGAGAAGAAGATTTTTAACGATTCCTATATATTCCTATGTAAAACTTGGGTCGGCCATTTTGGCCCCATCCTTGCCCCAGGGGTCATGATTTGAATAAACTAGAATCTATACTTCCTGAGGAAGATTCCATATGAGTTTCATCTTTCCTGTCCTAGTGGTTCTTGAGAAGAAGATTTTTCTTATATATTCCTATGTAAAACTAGGGTCGACCATTTTGGCCCCACCCTTGCCCCGGGGGTCATGATTTGAACAAACTTAATCTGCTCTACCTGAGGATGATTCCACATGAGTTTCATCTTTCCTGGCTCAGTGGTTATGGAGAAGAAGGTTTTTAAAGATTTTTCCTATATATTCCTATGTAAAACTTGGGTCGGCCATTTTGGCCCCACCCTTGCTTTGGGGGTCATGATTTGAACAAACTTGAATTTGCTCTACCTGAGGATGATTCCACATGAGTTTCATCTTTCCTGGCCCAGTGGTTTTGGAGAAGATTTTTAACGATTTTTCCTATATATTCCTATGTAAAACTTGGGTCGGCCATTTTGGCCCCACCCTAGCCCCGGGGGGTCATGATTTGAACAAACTTGAATCTACACTACCTGAGGTTGCTTCCACATGAGTTTCATCTTTCCTGGCCCAGCGGTTCTGGAGTAGAAGATTTTTTAAAAATGCAATTAATTTTTAACAAATTCATGATTATCTCCCCTTGGAAAAGGGCATGGCCCTTCATTTGAACAAACTTGAATTCCCTGCACCCAAGGATACTTTGTGCCAAGTTTGGTTGAAATTGGCCCAGTGGTTCTTGAGAAGAAGATGAAAATGTGAAAAGTTTACGACGACAACAACGACAACGACAACGACGACAGACAACGGACAAATTTTGATGAGAAAAGCTAACTTGAGCCTTCGGCTCAGATGAGCTAAAAAGCAAACAGAACAACAATACCCCAGATTTTAAAAATTTCTTTAAGAAAATAATGAATTTGAAAAGCATCGGTTTTGCCAAAAAGGGCTGCTAAAATTACACTATCCCTTCAGTAAAATACTAATTCAACACAATTTGCCCTAAACCTTACCCGATGGTTTGATTTTTTTTTTCTTACATATGAACCGAAATTTTTCGTCATCCGTGGTAGATTTTAATAAAAATGACAGAAAACAGCATAACAATATAAGAACATTTCATTTTTGTTAATGTTTACACGTTTCTATTCATTTTATAGAGTTAAGGAGGTCGACTATAGTGTTCATTGTGCAATATTTTGCGCGCGCATCATAGTAAAATGAAGTGTAGTTACTGTTTTAATGTATTTTTTTTCGCTCAATTATTAAAATCTAACAAAATTAAAAAAATTATACGTATAAAATGTGACAAAATTTGATATAACTGATTTTTTAGCCGATTTTGCAATTGATAGGTAGGTTTACGTCGTTGCAGAGTGTTTTTGACGTTGCGATAATCTTAAGCTCTTAAAGAATGGGGTAATAAAAACATCATTAAAGAAAGAGTAATAAATATACGCTCTTTAAATTTGAAAAATAAAAAATTGAGAATATCTCCAATATTTTTATTATGCTTTCACGTGAATCCATTCTGTACGTCATTTTTTGTAGTACTCTATAAAATAAGTAAAATTTGTTAATTTTTTGCATTTTGGGATGCCCCCTCTGGTAACAAGACGGTAGAATTTTGTGTTTCTTACATATAG